TGTTCAATCAAGCATGATGGTATTGTAAGTATAAAAGCAAAGCTTGCTTTCATATAATTAAAAAAGCTTGAGAAGAAAGTGGAATGGGATTAGTGTGGTTTGTGTAGAATCCAATACTTTAACTTGTATGACTTACAAATCACGTTATTGTTGGAGCACCTCCTCTAATGAACTGCTGCATGGAATGAATTAGGCTGTTTGAGAAGATTTGAATCCTAAGCAACCTTCATACACATTGTTTGAAATACAGTACCAACATAGCTACTGTAGTAGGTAAAAGCTGTGTGCTGGAAAAACTTGGCAGAGCATGGGTGGAGTAGGCATGGTGGTGCTCATGTGAACTTCCTTTGTTTTTCAGCTTCAGACCAATCCCTACTTTTTTTTTTTTTTTTTTCTTCTCACTTAAAACATAGTGTTTTGTTTTTAATCTGATAGTGGTTCTCCTCAGGTGTGTTTGTATACCAAGTCTGTCCCCAAACAATTTGATTTGCTGGTTTTAAGCATTACACTTTCAAATAGCTCTTTGTTGACTGTTGCTGGGTGTTATCGTCCACCATCAGCACCGGCCTGTACCCTACCTGCCCTAAGCTCTCTCCTGGCCCCTTACACTAAGTCTGAATTTGTCCTGCTAGGTGACCTAAACTGGGACATGCTTAAACCACCTGACCAAGTCCTAAGCAATGGGACTCCCTAAATCTTTCTCAGATTATTACCAATCCCACAAGGTATGACTCAAACACCCAGAAAAGGCTACTCTCCTTGATGTTATCCTCACAAATATTCCTGATAGGTGTCATTCTGATGTTTTCTGTAATGACCTTAGTGATCACTGTTTTACAGCCTGTGTTCGTAATGGCTGCTCAGTGAAACGACCTGTCCTGATTTGTCATAGACGCTTGCTAAAGAACTTTAATGAGCAAGCCTTCCTTCATGACCTGGCCACTGTAAATTCGTATAGAATCAGCTTGATCCACTCTGTCGAAGACGCTTGGACCTTCTTTTTTGACATTTTCAGTGGTATTGTTAACAAACGCCCCCATAACGAAAATGAGATCAAACCAGGTTCAGCCCCTGGTTTGATCATGATCTGGTAGAGTTACTCCACCTCAAGAATTCCATTTGGCGAAAGGCTCGGCACACGCATACTCAGGCTGACAGGAGCACATGGCTGAGCTCTTTAATCACCACTTCATTAAGTCAGGATTCCTATTTGACTCAGCCATGCCTCCTTGCCCGTGCAACATCTCCCAGCCCTTATAATGTGACTAGCCCCGATGCTCCTCCCCCTTTTCCCCCTGGCCCGCTACAAAGTTTCTCCCTGCAGGCGTTCACTGAGTCCGAGGTGCTAAAGTAGCTCCTTAAATGTGACACAAAAAACCATCTGGGTCAAATTATTTAGACCCTTTCTTCTTTAAGGTTGCAGCCCCTATCATTGCCAAGCCTATCTCTGACCTTTTTAACATGTCTCTCCTCTCTGGGGAGGTTCCCATTGCTTGGAAGGCAGCCACGGTGCATCCTTTATTTAAAGGGGGAGATCAAGCTGATCCTAACTGCCAATTTCTATTTTGCCCTGTTTATCAAAAGTGTTGGAAAAACTTGTCAATAATCAACTGACTGGCTTTCTTGATGTCTATAGTATTCTCTCTGGTACACAATCCGGTTTCCGCTCAGGTTATGGATGTGTCACTGCAACCTTAAAGGTCCTAAATGATGTCACCATTGCCCTTGATTCTAAGCAATGTTGTGCTGCTATTTTTATTGACTTGGCCAAAGCTTTTGATACGGTAGACCATTCCATTCTTGTGGGCCGGCTAAGGAGTATTGGTGTCTCTGAGGGGTCTTTGGCCTGGTTTGCGAACTACCTCTCTCAAAGAGTGAAGTGGATAAAGTCAGAACATCTGCTGTCTCAGCCACTGCCTGTCACCAAGAGAGTACCCCAAGGCTCGATCCTAGGCCCCACGCCTTCTCAATTTACATCAACAACATAGCTCAGGCAGTAGGAAGCTCTCGCATCCATTTATATGCAGATGATACAGTCTAATACTCAGCTGGCCCCTCCGCGGATTTTGTGTTAAACGCTCTACTACAAAGCTTTCTTAGTGTCCAACAAGCTTTCTCTTCCCTTAACCTTGTTCTGAACACTTCCAAAACAAAGGTAATCTGGTTTGGTAAGAAAAATGCCCCTCTCCCCACCAGTGTGATTACTACATCTGAGTACTACATTTAGAGCTTGAGGTAGTCACCTCATACAAGTACTTGGGAGTATGGCTAGACGGTCCACTGTCCTTCTCTCAGCACATATCAAAGCTGCAGGCTAAGGTTAAATCTAGACTTGGTTTCCTCTATCGTAATCGCTCCTCTTTCACCCCAGCTGCCAAACTAACCCTGATTCAAATGACCATCCTACCCATGCTAGATTACGGAGACTAATTTATAGATTGGCAGGTAAGGGTGCTCTCGACGGCTAGATGTTCTTTACCATTCGGCCATCAGATTTGCCACCAATGCTCCTTATAGGACACATCCCTGTACTCTATACTCCTCTGTAAACTGGTCATCTCTGTATACCCGTCGCAAGACCCACTGGTTGATGCTTATTTATAAACCTCTTAGGCCTCACTCCCCCCTATCGGAGATACCTACTGCAGCCCTCATCCTCCACATACAACACCCGTTCTGCCAGTCACATTCTGTTAAAGGTCCCCAAAGCACAAACATCCCTGGGTCGCTCCTCTTTTCAGTTCGCTGCAGCTAGCGACTGGAACAAGCTGCAAAAAACACTCAAACTGGACAGTTTTATCTCCATCTCTTCATTCAAAGACTCAATCATGGACACTCTTACTGACAGTTGTGGCTGCTTCGCGTGATGTATTGTTGTCTCTACCTTCTTGCCCTGTGCCCAATAATGTGTGTACCATGTTTTGTGCTGCTTCCATGTTGTGCTGCTGCCATGTTGTGTTGCTACCATGTTGCTGCCATGCTATGTTGTTGTCTTAGGTCTCTCTTTATGTAGTGTTGTGGTGTGTCTCTTGTCGTGATGTATGTTTTGTCCTATACATTTATTTTATTTTTTATTTTTAATCCCAGCCCCCGTTCCCACAGGAGGCCTTTTGCCTTTTGGTAGGCCGTCATTGACAGTGACATCAAAGTGAATTTCACTCTGCAGCTGTGTTGATCTGTGTAAATGAGGCATACTATGGTGGCCTGTGGGTGCCTTATCTTCTACCCTTGTACATACACACACACATGCACCGAAGGGGAACAGGGACAAGGGTGCCCTGTTTACTCAGAGGAGGTGTCTCATGACTCAGAGGATAGGAGACGTGCAGAACCACTCCTAGAGGATGGAGGTAGTATCATAGTCAACATGAAAACACTAGTATCAGAGCTCATCAGTTTCGTTGAATCACTCTCTAATCATTGGTTCTCAAGGCTACTCTGGTTGCATCCCAAATGGCACCCTATTCCCTATATAGTGCACTTCTTTTGACCAGGGGCCATAGGGTGCCACATTTTGGGACTCAGCCTCTGTAGAGAGAAACTCTCAAAAGTGTCCAGCTAGTCCAGAAACATCTTAGGTTGCACTCCCAAACCCCCCCCCAATCCTCTTTCCCAACCTCCAACTTTTACTTCAATCAGCTTCCTTTGCATTGTTTCTTTAATAGAGATGACTCCTCTTGAGAGGACAAGAGCACTCCACACATACCTGCTACAGCATCAAAGAGACTATGTTGTCATGCACTCAAACAGAAGGAAAAAGAGTGCTTTGAAATTCACCCCATAGTAGTCCTTGTGGGTTAATTGGTGCAAGCTTGTTGAAAAGTAAGAGGTAGAGTGTGTGTGTGTGTGCTCCAGTATTTCCGCTCCTCAGGGTTCATTATTGGCCTGAGCTCTTTCATTAGGGGGCTGTGATGGGGAGGGACGTGAGGGGATGAGAGGGGATGGTGGGGGCCGGTAGAGGACTTGGGGACAGGGTCCAAGAGTGTAATTGGGCTGTTCCGGTCCCTTGGCCTTGTTCAAGGTCACTCCGAGCCAAACCTTTGGCCAGGCCCCTCCTTCACTTTACATGGATTACTCTCTCTCTCTCTCTCTCTCTCTCTCTCTCTCTCTTTCTCTCTTTTCTTCATCTTCTTTTCCCTCTGTTTTCAACCCCTCTCGCCAATTCTAAAAAGGGAAACGGTATTAGTTGATTCTTCTGAACTTACTCCTCAAGAAATTCACTTCAGTGTCCTGAGCCAGATTTATAGGTTCTAATGTACACATTTGCTGTGCCGAGAACAGGGATTTTGGTTACAGTATGCATGTTGGTATGATTCACAATTGTTGTTGTGGGATAGACAGATCTTGCTAATGGGTGCTACTCATTGGTAATGACTGAGCTAACTGACCTCACCAGGAAAGCTCTTTGGACACTAAATCAGCCCTAAAATCAACCTAAATACAATAATGATAACACATTATTATCATTCAATCCAGTGGGTTTATTTCTAATTGTTAAATGTGTTTTTACAGGAAGGCATAGTTATGAGAAGTGCTAGCCTGGCATGGTGGCTAGTCTAGTGGTTAAGGTGGTCTGACATCTCGGTCTGATTAAGACATTGGTGAAAGCAGCCTTTGATCTGAGGAAATGTCTGTGGAAGGAGCAGGAAGAATGCATCTCTCTCTCTTCCTCTCCCTTTGCTCTCTCTTTCACTCTCTCACTCTCTCTCTCTCTGCTGTTCCCTGTAGAGTGCAGATGGAGATAGTGTCACCATTCATTTGCTGGCCCTGCCAGTCCACTCAATATCGTTTTCAAGTCTCGTAAGACATATTTTGATATGTTGGCTGGTCAAACACAACCATATTCTTTACTTATGAAGAGCTGTTACAATACCATGAGTTTGAAGGTAACACTTTTAAAATATCATTGTTCTGTCATGATACGAATCTGATCTTAGATCAACTGTACTTACAGTATGTACTTATTTCTTCTATTTTTTCTCCCCATTTGTCTGTGTAGGCCTCCTTCGCTGGCCGGCAGTCCGGCGTTCTCCGACATCTCCCTCATCCGGATCTCGCCCCACCGGAACCCCTCCGTGGGGGCCGAGTCGCCCTTTAACCCACCGCACCCCTACATCAACCCCTACATGGACTACATCAGGTCACTTCACTCCAGTCCCTCACTCTCTATGATTTCTGCAGCCAGGGGCCTCAGCCCTGCAGACGGTAAGTCCCCACAAACCCTATTCCCTATATAGTGCACTAAAGTAGTGCTCTATATAGGAGCCCTGGTCAAAAGTAGTGCAATAAATAGGGAATAGGTTATTACTTGGGACGCAGAAACACACAACCCTCTCATGAGTCCCCATACAATCAAGTATTATTTTAAGGCACACAAAGTCCTGCAATATGAAGTTGAATAAGATTAATGTACTACATACTCTTCTGTAATCTATCTTTCACTTGACCGTAAATCCCAGAGCTAGCTAGCTGTAGTAAATACAATGCAGTTGTGCTGTACCACACAGACGTGGGCCCCCAGAGTCTCTAAGGGCCCTCAGTCCCCGTTTTGAAGAATAATAGTGTACTTTCTTGTTGATCAATATGTTCAGCTAGTACAGTAAGAGTGTTCAGTTATGATCTCTTTAGATTTGATCCCTATTATGAGGTGCTTCATGACAGAGGTGACCTCATTCATTTATTTTAACTGTGTGTGTCTGTGCGTGCTTGTGTGCATGTGTCTGTTTGGCACGTGCACATGTGACTTTCTTTTAGTGTGTGTGCATTGTGCAGTGTGTGTGTGTGTGACTCTGTCTGTGTATGTGTGACTGCACATGTGTATGTCTGCACCTCTGCGTGCGTGAGTGTGTGTGCGTAGGGAGGCTCGTTTGAGGGAGGTTATTCTTTGATCTGTGGATCATGTCAGTGGACCTCTGGAGGATGCATCATGGAGTCACGTACAGTACAGACAGACAGACAGATGGACGTAGAGGGAGGCTCGGGTTCAAGGCCAGGGTCGGTGGCGGAGGAGTGGAGGGTGGAGGACCAGGGAGGGGAGGGTTAAAGCGGGGGCATATGGGCTGCATCCCAAATGGCGCCCTATTCCCTATGTAGTGCTCTACTCTGGTCAAAAGTAGTGCACTATAAAGGGAAAAAGGGTGCCATTGGGGACGCGTCCACAGTGTCCTGCAGGTTCCTGTGATGGAGACAGACTGGGTAATCAATTACAATGGGTCTGGAGATACAGTCAAGTGTGTGTGCTGCTTTTAAAGAGCCTCAGCACTGCTGCTCTGCTCCGGCCTCCTGGCCTGGACCTTTAATTGAAGCCTAGAGCTCAATTACTGAATAAGGCCAGCCTTCCCCACCGCTCCCAGGGGCAGTTTGTAATCACAGCTAGATTGAGCTTTGGCTGGCTGGTTTCCATTCTGCTCGAGTTGAGGTGATTGTATTTGAGGTAGTTTAACAGAATTATACGACCGCATTGTTATGACATTGTTATTATACTAAACTAAACACAAATATTTTTGTGGTGTTCAGCTCAGGTGGTTTGGTAACTGTCAAGGGAACAGTCACCTATAACTACATTGTTGCTGTAGCTCTGATAGTGTGTGTCCCAAATGGCACCCTATTCCCTATATAGTGAGTATACAGTAAGACTCGGGTCAAAAGTAATGCACTACATATGGAAAAGGCTGCTATTTGAGACACAGACAGGGTCTCCAACTAAGGCCCTCAGTTCACCTCTGAACTAGAGGTCCTATTAGAGCCGTACTGGTCTCCTACCTTGTCCTCAAGTGCCTTTGTGAAGAGGTGGATAGAAGGGGGCACTTCCTCTATGCAGGAACTCAGAGCCTCTTCTCCTCCTCGTCTCCCGCTCCTCCCAACATGCATTGCTCTCTGTGCCTTAGGTCTAATTCAAGTGTCCACTTCCTATCTTTTTAGTCCTCGGTTCTCTTTTACAAAGGAAATTCTCTACTAGCGTTGCTTTACATCAAAATGCTTTCTGTGCTACATCAACCTATTATAGTATGTGCTAAAGTGTGAAATGAGGCAAGTAATTACTCTTTTAATCAATCAAATAGTTAATTAACCTATCAGCCTTTATGTTGTTAGTATATCATTGTGCTTATAGGTTTTTCCTTTTTCAGTCTGCACAGATTTTTGAATAATGATGTTTTAATTAGTAGAATTGGATGGAGACTTGAAGTGGGTGAGATTTAGTACCACCTCCTATCTCTCATTCTTTTTCATCTACAGTATACCTCCCTTGTGTTCTCACTCTCTCTGGCTCTACCTCTCTCTTTCTCTGCCTCCCCCATCACTCTCTCTTACCCTTTCATTCCTCTTCTTCTCTGGTGTGGTTCAGTCGTATACTGCTTGCCTCTCTTATCCCATTGTTGTTCTGAAGGAGGGCCCTGTGGCCCCACCAACCACCAACTCCTGAGGCACATTGAGCTGCTTCTCCTCCACGTGAAGTGCCACACTGAATGTCCCCCCCCCACCCCCCTTGCCCCCAGGATGGCGCTACCCATGCCAGGATTTCTGATTTAAAAATTCCGCAAAGCCCTTTCTTCACACGAATAGAGAATGAGGCACATTACGGTTGAATGCAGAAGCAAAGCTAAAGCGGAACAACGAAGACAATTAAGAAACTCCCCCCTCCACTTAAGACATAATACCCAAATCGAATTAATTTGGGAATTTCTTCTTCCATTCACTGAACCAATCAGCGATGCATATTGCCAGGCATACAGGCCGGCCTTCTGAGGAGATCTTTTCATCCCGCGTTTATTTATTTATTTCTTCTCTCCTTTCTTTAAAATGGGAAGAAAAACAGCGGAATTAGCCGTAACACTTTGTGGGGCTGAACTGATTTCATATTTGCATCCCAAACCACAGTGTCAGTCTTTAATTCTCTCTCTTCTCTCCCCCTCTTTCTTTATTTTTCTTGGTTGGGATATTTGCATATGGAAGCACGATGCCAGATGTTTATTTTTAGGATACGGTTCAAGAACTTATAGCACTCTATAACTAAGGGAAGAGATTGGAAGGAGAGGCATATTCAGAGGGGGAGAGAGGGAGAGAGCGAGGGAGATGGAGAGGGGCTAGATTCAGAACATGTTGCTGTTTCTTTATGCATGCAGATCTGGACAGATTTGGGCCTTTTGTTTCTCATGGAGTTTTAAGAAGCAGAGTGAAAGAGCAGGTTGGAGTATCTGCTTCCTGCAGCCCTGCTACGCTCCATAACACACAGCAGACACACACACATGCACGCATGCACACACACCCTAACCCCCCCCCTCAACACACACACACACTTACCAATTGGCAAAACAACATAGGATGAGATATGATATGCATACCTGCAAGAATGAACAGTACATTTAAAACCAAGACATACAGTAGTGTAAACTCTGAGTAAGCAGCTTGAAATCACATTTGGGACCTAGTACACTACACTACCACTACTATACCTCATTATGGGGGCGGCAGGTAGCTTAGTGGGTAAGAGCGTTGTGCCAGTAACCGAAAGGTCGCTGGTTCTAAATCCCGAGCCGACTAGGTGAAAAATCTGTCGATGTGCCCTTAAGCAAGGCACTTAACCCTAATTGCTCCTGTAAGTCGCTCTGGATAAGAGCGTCTGCTAAATGACTAAAATGTTAAATGTAATTATCTCACCTAACATGTATGTCTCCCCCTACTCCCACCCCCCCCCCCCTCTCTCCTGACTCCCCTCTCCTCTCTCTTCTCTGTATCTCTCCTCTCTCTCTCTGTCTCTATGTCTGTCTCTGTCTGATCTCTTCTCTCTCGTGTCTCTCTGTCTTGCGTCTTCTTTCTCTCTCTCTTCTCTCTCTCTCTCTATCTTCTTGCGCTCCTTCTCTCTCTCTCTGTAGCTCTCTCTCTATCTCTGCTTCTCTCTCTCTATCTCTCGTCTATTTCTCTCTCTCTCTCTCGCTCTTGCGCTTCCCTCTCTCTCTCTCTCTCTCTCATCTCTCCTCTCTCTCTCTCTTTCCTTTTCTCTCTGTCTCTCCTTCTTTCTCTTCCTATCCTATCTGTCCTCCCCTCACATCCTCCCCCCTCCTCCCTCCTCCCTCCTCCCCCCTTCCTTAGCCCCTCACACAGGCCTGACCACAGCAGAGTACTACCACCAGATGGCTCTTCTGGCAGGCCACCGTAGCCCCTACACGGACCTCCTACCCTCTGTGGCCTCCACAGCCGGAGCCACCAGCAGCGCCCTGCACATGGAGTATCTACAGGCCATGGAGAGTAAGTCTGACTGTACTGGGGTTAAGACATTGATGCAAACTCAGTGTTTCCCCTAGGATTTTTTCAGCAGTGGTGGCAAGGGTAACGGGTAACGGGTAAGGGTTAGCGCAATGACATGCATGCTGTGTGTGAGTGTGTGTATGTATGTGTGTGTGTGTGTGTTTTACCAACTGAGTATTCCAGATATATTACAATATTACTTCCCTGCACTATACAGCAATCTATTTTACATGGAGCAAAACAACAATCCTACCAAATGAGGAGGGAGTAGCTAGCTAGCGATTCTAAACTGACATGATTTAAATGAGCCATTGTCTTAATGTGCCGGGCTCAGGCCTGCCTGTGCAGAGGGCTTATGCAAATGAGTTATTTTAAAGTGTAAATAGGAAATTAAACGCAGACTGAATCTTAGGGAAGGTCGGACAGCCTCACCCCTCTCCCTTTGATGAGAAGGTACTTAGTCAGGCAGCCGCCGCTTTCATGGAAATCCGGGGTGAAGTCCTCCCTCATCCTTCCCCCAATTCCTCCGAACAAACTAATTAAAACTAGCCAAACTTGCACGGCTATTTGAAAATTAATTGCCATTAAGTGGGAATTGGAATGTCCCACCATTCATCATCACAGGAAGAAATTCTTTCTTCTGTATCAACGCTTAAGATTAATAGAGTGAAACAAAACAATTAGGGCCACAGTTTCAAATGGGAGATGATGCAGTGGCTATGCTATCTCTTCACTACTTCACAATCGGCTGTGATCATTGCTGGTAATAACTCGTTGCGTTTCAACAATGTGTGTTCCACACGCAGGCCAGGAAAATGAACACTTTAAAGCTCTTCCTCTGTGATATATAGATTTTAGAGGAAAAATTGTAGCTAGCATAGTTTCAGTCAGTCTACTTCACATCAATGTAATTAGCTTAGGAAAGAGCCTATTTAATGGCCTATTGTCTCATGTTTTTATTCTAATTAGCTATTTTGGGTAGCGCTATGCTAACATCTGTAGTTGGGCTATATAATTAGCTATCTGGCTATTTTTCCATCAGAATAATTTGTGTTTTTTATTACCTGAGGAAATGATAAGCTTAAAGATCAAAAGATCCCATCCCGTCCTTCCCACCATCCCTAGACATTTTACATTTACATTTTCGTCATTTAGCAGACGCTCTTATCCAGAGTGACTTACAAATTGGTGCATTCACCTTATGATAGCCAGTGGGACAACCACTTTACAATATGTTTTTTTATTTTTGGGGGGGTGGGGTAAGGGGGGGTAGAAGGATAAAAAAAAAAAAGTACTTTATCCTATCCCAGGTATTCCTTAAAGAGGTGGGGTTTCAAGTGTCTCCGGAAGGTGGTGAGTGACTCCGCTGTCCTGGCGTCGTGAGGGAGCTTGTTCCACCATTGGGGTGCCAGAGCAGCGAACAGTTTTGACTGGGCTGAGCGGGAACTGCGCAGAGGTAGGGGGGCCAGCAGGCCAGAGGTGGATGAATGCAATGCCCTCGTTTGGGTGTAGGGACTGATCAGAGCCTGAAGGTGCGGAGGTGCCGTTCCCCTCACAGCTCCGTAGGCAAGCACCATGGTCTTGTAGCAGATGCAAGCTTCAACTGGAAGCCAGTGGAGTGTGCGGAGGAGCAGGGTGACGTGAGAGAACTTGGGAAGTTTGAACACCAGACGGGCTGCGGCTTTCTGGATGAGTTGTAGGGATTTAATGGCACAGGCAGGGAGCCCAGCCAACAGCGAGTTGCAGTAATCCAGACAGGAGAAGACAAGTGCCTGGATTAGGACCTGTGCTGCTTCCTGTGTAAGGCAGGGTCGTACTCAACAGTATTTTATTTCATTCAGTCCTGTTGAGGTAGTGGACTAGTGGTTGGACAGAATAGCTGTGTCACCTATTTAGTTTTCATATTGCTGCTAGTTTATGGTTATGATGATCATGTAAGATACGAGAGGAGAAGAGAGGAGGAAGAAAGGAAAGGGAGAAGTGGAGTGGAGTGGAGTGGAGTTGTGCTGTGAGAGGGCCAGTCTTCTCAGGTGGCCCTAACTCAGCTGTGTGGGTTAGGAGTTTTTGTGCTTTTGGGCTCCAGGCTCCTGGATTATTTTCTTCTGCCACCCATCAGTCCAGCCTGTCTGGGCCCTCCCTGTCCTGTCCGTGTTAATTAATGACGCTGTGCCTAAACAGTCCTGTCCATAAATCACAGGGAAATTAGAGGGACACTCTTGCTACCCTGTTACTGGCCACAACGCACCCCTCTCCCTCTCTTCTACCTCTCCATTTCCTCTCCTCCTGGTTGGCCGATTTATCGTTTGGCTCCCAGGGGGCCCATCTGTGATGGGACAGCTACCCTCCTCTACCCCATCCCCCGTTCATTCCCCTCTTCTAACTCTCCACAAGTGGAGGCAGTCACTCACCCGTGGACCTGGGACGTGGTTTTTAAGAGGTTTGTCACAGAGAGGTATGGGGGCATGGTTTGGGAGGGTGTGTCTTAGGTTGACCGGGGGGGAAGTTTGATTGAGGAGTGTGGTTATCGCAGGTGTTTGAGATGCAGTGTTTGTGTGAGTACAACTGGATTATAGAACTGCGTCAGATTTCAAGGAACAAATTCCTCATGTGGCAAACACATTTCCAGAGATGGATTGTGTGTGAGAGATTGCATGTACAGTGCATTCGGAAAGTATTCAGACCCTTATTCAGCCTTATTCTAAAATGGATTAAATATATATATTTTTTTCATCAACCAACACAGAATACCCCATAATCACAAAGCGAAAACAGGTTTTTAGAAATGTTTGCAAAGTTATTAGAAATATAAAACAGAAATACCTTATTTACATAAGTATTCAGACCCTTTGCTATGAGACTCGAAATTGAGCTCAGCTGCATCCTGTTTCCATTGATCATTCTTCAGATGTTTCTACAACTTGATTGGTGTCCACCTGCAGTAAATTCAATTGATTGGACATGATTTGGAAAGGCACACACCTGTCTATATAAAGGTCCCACAGTTGACAGTGCATGTCAGAGCAAAAACCAAGCCATGAGGTTGAAGGAATTGTCCGTAGAGCTCCAAGACAGGATTGTGTCGAGGCACAGATGTGGGGAAGGGTACAAAAAAAATTCTGCAGCATTGAAGGTCCCCAAGAGCACAGTGGCCTCCATCATTCTTAAATGGAAGAAGTTTGGAACCACCAAGACACTTCGTAGTGCTGGCCGCCTGGCCAAACTGAGCAATCGGGGGAGAAGGGCCTTGGTTAGGGAGTTGACCAAGAACCCAATGGTCACTCTGACAGAGCTCCAGAGTTCCTCTGTGGAGATGAGAGAACCTTCCAGAAGGACAACCATCTCTGCAGCACTCCACCAATCAGGCCTTTATTGTAGAGTGACCAGACGGAAGCCACTCCTCAGTAAAAGGCATGACAGCCCGCTTGGAGTTTGCCAAAAGGCACCTAAAGGACTCTCAGACCATGAGAAACAATATTCTCTGGTCTGATGAAACCAAGATTCAACTCTTTGGCCTGAATGCCAAGCGTCATGTCTGGAGGAAACCTGGCACCATCCCTACGGTGAAGCATGGTGGTGGCAGCATCATGCTGTGGGGATGTTTTTCAGCGGCAGGGACTGGGAGACTAGACAGGATCGAGGGAAAGATGAACGGAGCAAAGTACTTAGAGATCCTTGATGAAAACCTGCTCCAGAGCGCTCAGGACCTCAGACTGGGGCAAAGGTTCACCTTCCAACAGGACAACAACCCTAAGCACACAGCCAAGACAACGCAGGAGTGACTTAGGGACAAGTCTCAATGTCCTTGAGTGGCCCAGCCAGAGCCCGGACTTGAACCCGATTGAACATCTCTGGAGAGACCTGAAAATAGCTGTGCAGCAACGCTCCCCATCCAACCTGACAGAGCTTGAGAGGATCTGCAGAGAAGAATGGGAGAAACTCCCCAAATACAGGTGTGCCAAGCGTGTAGCGTCATACCCAAGAAGACTCGAGGCTGTAAAAGGTGCTTCAACAAAGTACTGAGTAAAGGGTCTGAATACTTATGTAAATGTGATATTTCCGTGGGCTATTTGTCACTAAGAGCATATTTTTAATAAATTTGCAAATCATTTCTAAAAACCTGTTTTTTCTTTGTCATTTTGGGTTATTGCGTGTAGATTGATGAGGGGAAAAAACTATTTAATCCATTTTAGAATAAGGCTGTAACGTAACAAAATGTGGAAAAAGTAATGGGTCTGAATACTGAGTGCATGTATGTGCGTGGGGGGATTTGTGTGGTTGTATGTGTGAGTGTGTGTTTGTATGTGTGAGTGTGTGGTTGTATGTGTGAGTGTGTGTTTGCCCCCCAACTCCCCTCTCTGAGACGTTAAAGAAAGAGAGGCAGGTTTTCTGAAGAGGCCAGAGCAGAGACAATGTAGAGGGATGTTCCTCCTCTCTCCTCTCTCCCTAGAGCTCCATGCTTCAAACACAGGCCTACGTATGCCAGGAACTCCACTACACACACCACACACACATGCGCGCGCACACACACACATACAACTGATTTCCATGTGAATGGAAGCCTCTGTAATCGCTGGATGTGTCAGGCGGGAGTGAGCATTTTGAATTTAAGGGAGGATGGAAAGGATGGAGGGAGGGAGGGAGGGTTTTGTTAGCCCACGAAAAAAAGAAAAACAGCTGAAATGTTTTTCCCGACCGATTCTCTGAGTCACAAAGTCATTGTGCCAGTTCTCTCACAAAGCGCAACATCCCCCTTTTCTATCCATTTTCTCCTCCCTTCTTTACTTTTCCCCTCTGTCTTATTTGTGACATCTCCGAGTGAAAAGACAACAAAAGTAATTTCTTAATCTGTACATGCGGCTCATTGTGTGTGGAGGGAGAGAGAGAGAGAGAGAGAGAGAGAAAAGAGCTTGTGTTGTTGGCTGCTTGATATTTTTTCAAAGCCACTCATAGTAATTCCATTCAACGTTGACTGCGTTTGAATAAGGAGGCACATCAGATTTGATTAGATACTTGATTGCCATAACCCAGTCAGTAAAGTGCTCTGACATACAAGGCACCCCTATGTTGTCTTGTATGAAGTTCATCCATTGACAATTGCTCTTTTTCATTCAAATGTGCCTTTTGTTAGAAGACATTTTGTTTGTTAATTGGATTGAATAAGGTTTTTCTGCGGCAGTGAAGCTCACTCTATGGCCCCTATATGTTTGTCTATGGTTAAATCAGAAGTAGGCTACAATGCTATAAAAGCAATAAAATCTATGAAAAATAAGTCAAGCCACAAATGAACATACAAAAACTGTATGTTTCTGATTAAAGACAATAGATAAATCACTATCTCTTTCACCTACTAGGTTTCTATCCAAAGAGGTTCTGTGGACTACAACTTATAATGTCTCAACTGTCTGCTCTACCTCCTTCCTCTCTTCCAGGCTCCAGGTTCCCCAGCCCCAGGTTGACGGCGAGGCCCAGTAGGAAGCGGGCCCTGCCCATCTCTCCCCTGTCGGAGCACAGCTTTGACCTGCAGACCATGATCCGCACCTCGCCCAACTCCCTTGTCACCATCCTCAACAACTCCCGCTCCAGCTCCTCCGCCAGCGGCTCCTACGGACACCTCTCGGCCGGGGCCATCAGGTATGGGAGTATGGTTGCAAAATTCCAGTACCTTTCCCAAAATTCCAATTTATTTCAAGACATTCTGGTTGGAGGATTCCAGGATTTCCTGCTTAAATCTTCCTGATTGCAGGAATAATTTCCAATGGGGATTTCTGGAAAAAGTAATGTTACGGGATGATAAAAAAGATGTTGAAAAGCCCTGTGGGGATGGAGTGGGATGGAGGGACTGGGGCAGAGGCCATGTTTGTGTGGGACGTTGATCTACTGAAGGTGGGGGGATGTATTAGGATGTGGTGGACCAGTGAGGTTATTATGTGCGTACGTGTTTCTCCTCTGCGTCCAACCTCCTGGTGGGCCTTGTCCCCCCCATTTACCCAGCGTCCCCGGCGGCATGTGTCAGTCATCCACACACCCTCCCAAACACCACCCCCCTAATACACACCGAAACGACAGAGAAAGAGAAAGAGAGAGAGGGAGATCCATAGTCCTACTCGTAGCCATTGATCAGCGATCTGGAAGGAGAACCTGATCAATCACATGCCGCTGTGGCCCCAGTGACAGGTCCAATGATAGGGCCAACAGACTGATGAGTGATATGACAAGCAGATGGGCCCCCAAATGCGTCTTGGCCCATTGATTTCCACTCGGGGCCGGTAATAAGATCAGCAGATGTATGGGGCCGGGCTGAGAGGCTGAGAGCAGGCGTCAAGGAGGCAGGATGAATGGAGGCCCGCCAAGCGTGACTGCTATTGAACCATAGACCTGTGTTTACCTGGCGCTACCAATGTTTATAGAGAGAGCTTATGCGAAGGTGGGCAATGGGAGGTTTGGATGTTGATTTAATCTATGATGTAAGTAAAATAGTCAATTAATGGTACCCAAACTATCTGCACTGACTCTATCTTGCACTGACCCTACACACACTCACTAGACTATATATACAAACCATATACACACTCACTAGACTATATATACACACCATATACACACTCACTAGACTATATATACACACCATATACACACTCACTAGACTATATATACACACCATATACACACTCACTCACACACACTACATTGACACTCCCACACAAAACCCACACACATAACGCACACACACTCAGACCAACACAGCACAAACACACATCCACACATACACATTACTCACACACGCACACTCTTACACACACTTTTACACTCATCATTTGCTGCTGCTACTCTGTTCTTTATTTTAGTCTTATTGTCTATGCTGATGCTTAGTCACTTTACCCTGCCTTTCTTGTACATATCTACCTCAAATACCTTGTACCTCTGCACATTGATCTGGTACTGGTACTCCCTGTATATAGCTCTATTTTATGTTATTCCTCTTGTGTTACTATTTTTATTTTTAAACTCTGCATTGTTGGGTAGGGCTCGTAAGAAAGCATTTCACGGTAAAGTCTACACCAGTTGTATTCGGCGCATGTGACAAATACAATTTGATTTGATTTAAACATTCTCACCTCAATGTAGATCTATGAGGAAGGAAGGGTCTAGGTCTTTCACAGTAGGGGAGAGCTAGCAAGCAGACAATGCAATGTGAAGTGACTGTTGTAGTTATATACTAAGTTATAGGCATGATTATACTGTTGCTATTGTATATAATTTTGCTTTATTTCTGACAGAACCCAGTCATTCTGTCATTGTCTCCCGAGTGGCGCAGTGGTCTAAGGCACTGCATCGCAGTGCTAGCTGTGCCACTAGAGATCCTGGTTCGAATCCAGGCTCTGTCGTAGCCGGCCGCGACCGGGAGACCCATGGGGCGGCGCACAATTGTCCCAGCGTCGTCCAGGGTAGGGGAGGGAATGGCCGGCAGGGGATGTAGCTCAGTTGGTAGAGCATGGCGTTTGCAACGCCAGGGTTGTGGGTTCGATAAAATAATGTATGTGCTAACTGTAAGTCGCTCTGGATAAGAGCGTCTGCTAAATGACTAAAATGTAAATGTCAGTGTCATATAGTTTTTACAGTGGAGGGATAAGTTAATATAACCAGGATTGCAAAATGATAAGGTTCCCCAAAATTTTCTCAGATTTACTTCCCTTCAGATTCCAAGAATCCACCAACAGGGATTTCTGGAAAACCTGGGAATTTTGGGAAAGTTACCAGAATTTTGCAACGAAGTAATAACCGTACATTTTTTAAAACTTTTATTTTACCAGGCAGGTCAATTAAGAACAAATTATTATTTACAATGACGGCCTGGCAAGGGACCACAACAGTAATTCACAGTGCTAACAAGCTGAACATTCATTGGCAGGGATTCACCTTGGGCCCCGTGGCTTCAGTGTTACCAGAGCATCACTACTCCTGTCAGATGAGGAGCTAGCCAGAACAATCCATTTATTCACCCTCTCCCTCTCTTTCTCCCTCATTTTGCATCATTGCTATTGCAAATGCCGCTCAAATACATCAGAATGTAGTTTGTTAATGGTACATTAATTGATAACTTGCTAAATATTGATCTTTTTTTTTTTGGGGGGGGGGTCTGCACAAAGCCTTGCATGTGGGATGTTCCACCCTTTCTCGTCTACCAAACCCTGATTGTGATATTGTTTCCCTCCAGTCCGGCATTGAGTTTCGCTTACCCTCCGAACCCTGTGGCACTTCAGATGCACCAGCAGCTGCTTGGTCGGCAAACAGGGATGGTGGGTTCTGCGTTCGGCCACAGTCCGCCCCTCATCCACCCTTCCCCGGCCTTCGCAACCCAGCGGCCCGTCCCTGGCATCCCTCCCCCTGGCCTCACACCCAGAGAGCGCTCCGTCATCTCTAATGAAACCTCACAGGTGAGAGACTCCTCCCTCCTCCGCGGCAGACGCCTCTGCAATTCATCATCCCAGGTAATAGATAGATAACACTGCCATGTGCTAGCTGCGTCTGCGGTAGCCTAAACAGGCACAAGGCTCAGACAGGTAGAAACAGGCTCCCCTCCGTGCTCTGGCCTCATGGGAGTTGCGGACCCCTGGATGTGTTGTTTTGGACTGGGAATATTCGTTTTTTGAATGCTCTGTTTCACATGAAAAACAACAAGGGACTTGTTAGCATAGGATCCCACCACTGACACCATTAATCACACAGGAGGAAACAGGGATTAAAACGGAATATTGACATGGATGGATCCCGCAGTGTCTCTCCATGAGGTAGTTGGTGGATGAGATCTCTCATTCAAGGTAGAGAACTGACTATGTAAACGTATCTTCTCAAACTATTACACAATTCTGTCCAGCTCATAGGAAACAAACAGAATCATATACTACCTTACCGATTTCATATTTCTAGTCCAAATAGGACAAATACAGTCTCACTGTGTCTATAAGCAGGATCTCAGTGGCTCGAGTGTCAAGATGCCCCACGGTTAACGAGAAATTACATTCCAGATTCCCTGAGTAAACATTCTGAGAAGGCCAGTAGCACAGATCCGAGCCAAGGAATCTCTCCTGTTTTTCCAGGCCAGTTCAGTTTTCCTTGTTAATTTATTTTCCTGGCTCGCCTGCCTTGTAACAGGGAACTCCCCTTTGGCTCTCAGGCCAGGACCAATCAGGCCAGAGTCGGGTCTACCAAAGGTAAGGTCAGATAGGGAACTGCTGTATAGAATCATCTTATTCAATGGCCTCGAATTAATAGATAACAGGCTGTACTATGCTCCCTTGTAGTTGGATAAACTAGATGCCTTGAACAGTATCATACAGGATGTCGTCATACAACTGCATGTAAATGTTATTTTCTGCTCAACTTTTATGGTCATTCTATTATATAGTATGTTGAATTAATTTTGAATGAAGTGATGTTATTGTGGTTGTTCCCACAGACCAAACCCACCAGTGAGTCAGCGGTGAGCAGCACAGGGGACCCCATGCACCACAAACGCTCCAAGATCAAACCGGACGAGGAGCTACCCAGCCCAGGGGCCCTAAATTGCCAGGTAAATGTAACTTCTCCACCATTTATCATATAGTCCGATGAACAGGTATGTTTATGGTATTCTATGTTCAAAGATGAGATCAGCAGATGAGATGGTTTACTGCGTCGGCAGCAACAGAATAGGATGTGGTGCTTGTACTGTTCAATTCTATTCACAAATAGAAAACACATACACACGTGTGCACACACACACACACACAACCACACACACTCACTCAGTCACTCTATCAGATGTAGAGCTTTGGGGCCAATTATGTGATGTATTGTATAACTGTTTATTTATTTGCCTGTTTCATTTGGCTGCCTGTTCAAGCTGCCACCTCTGAAGCGATAAGCCCCATTGATCTTGGAGGCACCAGAAGGAAATTGTTTTCCTTTTAATCAGATGCTTAAGTGAATGGAAAGAATTAGAGAAGTTAGACTGCAGGTTTTCTAAAGGGCTCTCTGTGTGCTTGTGTCTGGAATGATGCCTCTAAAAGTGGCTCTGTGCGCATACAATGGAGGCAAGCCTGTAGAGAGATCCACATTCTGTGAATGAAAGTCCTCTTCTCTCTGTTCCCCTCCTTCACACACTCTCCTAACGCCATGGCAGGCAGGTACTAGCAGTTTTTACAAACCACAACTTAGCCTAGAGAGAAACCCCTGTACTCTCCAGGCTGCCCAGCCATGTAATGCTAACGGTAACAGTGAAATACGTCTACACTAATGGATTCCTGAAATACTAATACAGGCCCCAGACCTGTCATAGATCAACTGCCAACCCAGAGCAGAGCTTTCAGTGCTACATTTCCGCTCCCAGACTCACCTTCTACTCCCTGCGTGCCGAACAGGGCCACATTGGCCAGATTCACTCGATTACACCGGTGGGAAAGTGTAACTAAATCAGCCTGGTGGATTAGGGGAGGATATATTAGGGGGAGGATAGATTAGGGGGAGAGAACGTTTTGGTTGTGATATGACTGTGGACTTGAATCAAGTGTGTTTTGAACATAATGTGTAAACAGTCTTTTACCTAACCATAGTATACAAATATAAAAATCAGACCCATAAGTTCTGAACTGACTGTATATACAATATTTAATATCCTGCAGATCTCTGCACTCTTACTCATCTCTCATGTCTCAACGGTTAACCTCTTGGATAACCAGGTCAATTTAGTAAAAGACCACTTCGTCTCACCTGACAAAATAGAGGTGAAAGGTTAAATACTGGATACAAACCGGTAGTCCTTTAACTGGTTGCCTGTCAGTGCAGTGTTGGGCCATTGCTTTAACACTGTCAGTGTTGGGTCCTTGCTGTAACACTGTCAGTGTTGGGTCCTTGCTGTACAACTGTCAGTGTTGGGTCATTGCGGTAACACTGTCAGTGTGGGGTCATTGCTGTAACTGTGTGGTGTTTCTATACTGTAGGACCATCCGGATGGGATGACACTGGTGAAGGAGGAAGGTGACAAGGACGAGAGCAAGCAGGAGCCAGAGGTTGTGTACGAGACCAACTGCCACTGGGAGAGCTGCCACCGGGAGTTTGACACGCAGGAACAGCTAGTTCATGTGAGTACCTACCAGGACACACTGGGGAAGTAGCCTCGATTTGCAGGAGGCAGAACCAATATGACTATGGTGTCTGGCTTCGCTAGACTCCCTCTAACTCTATCAAGTTCAAAAGCTTTATGGTCCATTTAGAATGCAGATACTGTGCAGATAACAGCACAATAAATAGGAAACAAGTTTTAGGAGTCTATTTTAGGAGCCCTCAACAAGTCAACTGGTCCTATAGTTCTCCTGGACATTGGCTCCAGCCCTAACACCCTCTCTCTGGTCCAGCAGTCTCTTCTGTATGTGCAGTGTTCAGCGTTCAGTGCATAGTGTGCTGCAGCCTACAGGCGTTGAGTAATGCCCCTGCCGGATTCCAGATTGGTTTCGGGGACGATGGTTAATGGGCTCAAAGGCTGCCGAGTACGTCTCTGTTGGGCTATGGCGCTAACTGATTTGGCCGGTACCGGCTCGACTCCAAGCCCTGCACAATCAGGCCGTAAGCCCTTACACTCTTCTGTACCGTACTGGCTGTAATATACTCCCCCCTTCTGTCATACAGCTCCTCACACCGCCCAGGAGATGGATGACGTTCATCCTGTAGAGCCTGAGGGCCTATTCTTCACCAAAATATTAATGATATTACAGTAATACTGTATCTATTACAGTAATACTGTATCACAAGCACTACGACGCCACTTACACTGATGCTATTACTGCTGCTGCTACCGCTGGTGCTGGACTGGTCTCCCCTGTGAGCTGCTCTGTTCTGCTTACCACTAGGCCCACTGAGAGGTGAGATTTGACTTTACATTCGTGTTTAATACATGAGAGCTGGAGCTGAGCTCACACAGCTCACCATTTCATGTGTGAGCTGTGCCAAGATTTTCCTCTTGTAGGACAATAAACGTGATTCTGATTCTGATTCTGATCAGCACACATCAGAAGGATCCCCAGCTCTCTACGGCTGTCTATCCCGTCGTCTGACATTGCAATCCGCAGCCGCGGCAGTATCCCCTATCTATAATTGATATCCTCAGCTCAGAATGGGCTGCCTCCCGCGTTTGAAGGGCTCTACTCAAAGGTTGAGGATCTTGACAACTTCTTGCCCCTGTTTCCGGGGACAGGGGGAGTTTGGCTGAGAGATGGGGGGGGGGGGGGGGGACATTCTCATTGTCTTTTCCCCTTACAAGCTCACGCATTTGCTCTCTGTCATCTTTTTTTCATATGATATTTTATTACTTAATTTATATGCCCATGCAGATAGGGGGAGGGACATGCTAATAAAACTATTCGCCTCTAATTCAGCAAGCAGAGAGAAAACCCTCTTATCTCCCCACCCCTTCCTCACCCCCACCTCCCATCAGTAATGGGATAAGTGCAGTATTTGGACCACATTGTCTCTCCTCCAAATCCGGGGATATCACTTCCCCCCTTTTTTCAACTTGTCTTCTAGAATGGCTATTGAGAAAAAAATCGAATAATATAATTTGCTTCCAGTCTGGCTTTGATTGGTAGTGTGAGATGAAGTTACCCTTTATGTACTGCAACGTCGTTTTCAGTTCTAATACATTTATGGATTGTTGAATTGTTTTCTATCGATTGTTCATTGTCGATAGTCTTTGATATTAGTGAGGTAAAAACTTTAAATTAAACTGCTATTTGAAACAAGTGAGGTAAATTATACTCTATTTGAAGTGTTAAAAAAGTGATGGTTACGAAGAAGAAGACGAAGAAATCCCTTTTTAGTTTTTTGCTTGGCCTAATTCTAGAAATAAAAGGTTCCGTGCACCACCCTCATTGCTTTCTACCTTGTTCAAAAGCGTCTCCAGCCTCGCTCCTGATGCATATTTTTACACTCTACAAACGCCCTCGCACCATGACGCGCTGCGCCGTTCCTTTATCATCCGCGTTTAAGCGCTCTCGGTGCCGCCGATAAGATAAACATCGCATCTATGCAATTTAGCTCACTTATCTGGCCTTCCCACTCAGCAAAAGCGAGGCGGGTGTCAATTTTAGGTTGCTGTATTTATTTCATTCATTTCTCCTTCTCTCTCCATCACTTATTTGAACTCTGCCTCTCTACATCAACCTCCAGTACCTTTTTTGGCATCACTATCTTATTTTCTATTTCATTTTCTCTCCTTGCCAAGGGAGCACTTTTAAAGATAAGGCGTTGGTGCTGGATTATTTAATGTCTCTGTCTGAGATGTTTGTGGGGGTTTGAACTGGGGGGGGGGGGGGGGGGCTTTGGAGAGATGTTACGGAGACTAAGATGGGGGGATACAGAAAGGGTCTCAAATGCGGTGACCCTGAGACGGGGTGTGTGTGTGTTTGTGCGTGTGTATGAGATTGTGCGTGTACGTGCACACAATCCGCATATGCATGTTGAGACAGTAGCGGTCAATTTACATTCCCTTCCACCTTGATACTGTGCTATTCTGGGTCATTTCCTTAGGTGGAGCTATAATGTCCTTGTTCTAAGGAGATGGAGATGGCGTGATGTTAGCGTTAGCTCCCCCAGTATTCAAGCATGCTGTACGGCGGTGTTTGCGGCCTGGGTGCCTCCTCGGTGTTGAGGGGAGATAAAGTTGGGCTCAGTCAGAACGCGGCCCCCTCTCCCGCCTGCTGGCACAGCCCTTTAATTGGTAAAATGCAGATTATTTTTTGATCAGGAGAAGGATTAGGCACCTTATCTGTCTGGAGTATCTTACTCCAAGATGAAAAGGCTGTGCTGAATTACACATTCAAATTCTAACCCCCCTCGCTCCTTCACTCCCTCACTCTCCCCCTCCCTCCTTCCCTCCACCTCCCTCCCTCCTTCCCTTCATCTCCCTCCCTCCTTCCCTCCATCTCCATCCCTCCCTCCCTCCCTCTCTCCCTCCCTCCTTCCCTCCATCTCCCTCCTTCCCTTCCCTATTTGTCCCTCTTTTTTTTCTTTACACAAAGCGCTTCAGCAATTGACATCACAAAAGAGCATATGATTTATTAGGCTCTGTTTGATAAAGCTAAACGGTGTTGCGGGTCCCACAGCTTAGTGAAATTGCCCTTGTAAACAGGCCTTCTTTTCATGCATTCTAATGTATGAGGTGTATATACCAGAAAGAGCTTGATAAGGAGACACTGTTGATGGATTTTGAAGTCGGGGGAAAATTGAGGAAAGTAGCTAAGTGTTGAAGGGATTCTGTGTATCTGGTGTCAGTGTGTTTATGTGCATGTGTAGCTAAAAGATGTGTGTGTAAATCCATAAAATTACATTTAGTCTGAAAGTAGAAATCTAAAAACCATTTCCTTTAGTATATGTAGTAGCTACATGTCCTATACAAATAGTTCACGTCAAATTGTGTGTGTTTGTATATCAGTGTGTTATACACTGTATTATTGGTATGTCAGTCTATACCTGTAAGCAAATGTGTACTGTAGGGTGTGTGTGTGTGTTTGCATGCCTGTGAATGTGTATGCACTCTGTGCTCATCCCAGCCAGCGCATGTGTCTCCCTCCGCCTGTCTCCCTCCTAAATCCATCTCGGTGGCGTTTTTACAGTGTGTTGGCCGATAAACTGGCAGGGTGAAAATGAAAAACTAGCTAGCATGCCGCCACCACCGCTATCAGCACCTGTTTGTCCATTACGCCAGGGCCAACACTGCCTAACCATACGCTCAGCATGGAGATTATTGATTCATTACAAATTGCCATTAGATCATGACCATTAGTGTCGTCTCCTCTCTGTCAGAACGGGGCCCCATGCATCACGACCGTCAGCGGCCCCTGGTCATTTGTACGGGCTGGCGGGAGGGACGAGGGGGGACAGGGGAGTGTGTGCCAACAGCACAGCAACACCGGGGCGCTCCTATCACTCTCAGCCAGGGGATATCGAACGGCGCGTGGTGCAGACTGATCGCTTGCCACAGGAATTCCCTCACAGAGACGGAGGGGGAAAAAAGGAGGAGAGGTTTTCCGTGTTGTGATGGGGAAGGGAAGATCAGTCTGAGGGAAACGAACATCCACGGCCCTCGATCTTACCTCCCCAATTGTTTCCTCTCTGAAAGAAACCATTTTTTGTCACTCCAAAATTAAAACGTGTCAGGTTGAATTGAATGGAGGGCCTTTGTTGATACATAAATTCAATTGGAGACAGAACTTAACGATTGCATTGGCTAACATATTGATGTAGTTGTGAGAGCAGGGCAGGGCAGGAAAGTGCACTTGGCTGGCGAAGAGATGCCGGTTGTAGTGCACTTCTTTTGTCATAGGGGCGGTGTAGGACACTCATGGCTCCCACTGCATATGGGGTTAGTTAAGTGCAATTGTTCTGAGACTTGAGGGCCCATGGGGGCCTTTCTCTTGAAGTAAGGTCAGACTTCATAGGGTGCTGTCTATTTGGGGGTACATCCCCTCCTCTGATGGCAACAAAGGGCTGTGACGGTGCCCTGGTCAGGGCCCCACTGGCCTGTGTGTTGGGTTACTAACTGGCCAGGGGGAGGGGCTCCTGGCTGGGGATAATGCTGCCTTTGTCTGGGGACCGTCATGTCTGGAGGTGCACGGCCAGTGACACACTAGCAGTTCAAACAGTCATGCAGGCACACACACACACACAGGCAGGCAGACAGGCACACACACACAGACACACACTTTTCTTGGGGCGGCAGGTAGCCTCGAGGTTAGAGCGTTCGGCCAGTAACCGAAAGGTTGCTGGTTTAAATACCGGAGCTGTTAAGGTGAAAAATCTGTCACTGTGCCCTAATTGCTCCAGGGGCGCTGTGCAATGGTGACCCTGGCTGTGACCCCACTCCCTGTAGGTGTCTCAGGGGGAGTTGGGATATGCAAGAAACACATTTCCACTACACACTTGTGTGTAACAGGACAAATATAAATTATTATTATTATTCTATTTCCCTCTCAATTCCTCTTCTCTCCTGCTCTTCCCCTCCACTGTTTGGTTTGTTAAAGTCTGCTACAAGGAAATATAGAGATACTCTAACAACAGTTTGTTTCTCCCAGACATTTAAGACCTCTCAAAGTCAAGTCTCTATCTTTCTTTCCCGTTCCCCTCTCTCTCTCTCTCTCTCTCTCTCTCTCTCTCTCTCTCTCTCTCTCTCTCTCTCTCTCTCTCTCTCTCTCTCTCTCTCTCTCCGTTTTCCCCCTAAGGCAAATGTCTCTCTCCCCCCTCTCTGTTCAGGAATGTAATAAGACAGGTTCCTTTTGTTCAGGATATTGTGTCTGTCTCCTTGGGTTTAAATTGCTCTCGGAAAGGCCCTTCAGAGGCCACCACACTACACTGTTGTCTTTGTGAGAGGGCCAGATGTTGACTTCTTCCCCGAGGATTCCATCTCTGTCTGCCTTTTTTTCCCTTCTCTTTTTCTTTACGGCTCTCTCATCCTGCCTCAAACAACCACTGCCACCACTTACCCCTTTTACTGGTCAGTGTGTAAGACAGAGAGAGTTGGAGAGAGAGAGGGAGTGAGAGTGACAGAGAGAAAGCAGGGGAGAATCGGTGCTCACTAGATACTGTATAATGCTTCGCTGGAGTTGTAAAGCCATGGAATTTGAAACGCTTTCCTCCCTCACCTCCCTCACCTCCCTCACCTCCCTCTCCCCCGTCCCTCCCCTCCTCCTGCCCCCTTAAGCCTCAGATTGGAAGTTGTCACGGCAGCACAACTGTCAGCAGGAGCCCCATGTGATGTGAAGTGACAGGGTTTTATTTGAAAAGCCTGTTCATATCGGACACTGAGACTCACAAGTCTCCCCTTTATTCCTCAGAAAATACGAATGAAAGAAAAGGAAATGGAGAGAAAGAATATGAAAGAATGGTAACGGTAGAGAGAGCGGGAAAATTAGTGGTAAAACAATGATGGATGAATCAATTGAATCCTAATCCAGATTAACCTTTGACCTCTGCTTGTTTTTTCTTTCAGCACATCAACAACGACCACATCCACGGGGAGAAGAAGGAGTTTGTGTGTCGCTGGGACGAGTGTTCGCGGGAGCAGAAACCCTTCAAGGCCCAGTACATGCTGGTGGTCCACATGCGCAGGCACACCGGGGAGAAACCACACAGATGCACCGTAAGACCACTCCCACAACACTAGAGCCCTGCATGGGCATGACTTTGAAGCCCGAGCCCTACCCATGCCCGCGACGTTCAAGCCGTACCCTCCCCAGGCCCGATTGCTTCTGCCAAATCAGAAATCACTTCCACCGTTAGTAAATCCATTAGCTGCTCCTATCTGTCACTCGCTCCCTGGACGCTGCTCGCTCTGCATGCGCTCTGCTCATGTCGCTTTGAGTCTGTGAGTATCCATAGCAATGGCTCCAATTGGGCTGCTCTGCTCAATGAAGAGACATGAAAGAGCAGTTACTTTTCACTCTAGACTAATTTCTCCTGTCTTATATTTGACGAGGTTAAAGCCATGTAATGATCTTAGTCAGATATGACTGTGCTGCGCAGCAGAGCACGGGCAAATGGCTCAGCTTCAAAATGTTAGTGATCAATTTAGTGATACCCGAGCCCTGCCTGTACCCTAGTTATTGATGAAAAAACAGGCCCTACCCGTCCCCTAACCCGATGTATAATGTTGGGCCCCGTCGGATGTAAACGTTTACTTTACATCCGTGGGCTTAGATATAGGAATACATAAAGAGATAGTCGTTGTTAGATGGTTGTGTGATGATGGTGCATCCTTACATTTAATCAACAATCTGTCACATTACTGCATAGGTCAGTTATATTTCTGGGGTAATTGTTGTCTCCCAGGATGACGCAGAGCTGTGTTTGATTCTTTTTCTTCTTCTTCTGTGCAGTTTGAGGGCTGTCCCAAGGCCTACTCTCGCCTGGAGAACCTGAAGACCCACCTGCGCTCCCACACTGGAGAAAAGCCGTACGTCTGTGAACACGAGGGCTGCAACAAGGCCTTCTCCAATGCCTCAGACAGAGCCAAGCACCAGAACCGCACACATTCCAACGAGGTACAAACACACATGTTCACTCACGTGCGCACACGCACACAGTACATGTATGCACTCACGCAAGCGCAGGGAAATACGCGCGTGCGCACAAACACAAACAACACACACACTCACACACAGACACAGCTCAGCAACAGGTCATTTCCCTACACCACTGAATGTCTGTGAGCATGCTGTCCATTGCTGGAGGCCTTTAGCAGCAGGTAGCCTAGCGGTTAAGAACTTTGGGCCAGTAACTGAAAGGTCGCTGGTTAGAATCCCTGAGCTGACTAGGTGATAAATCAGTCAATGTGCCCTTGAGCAAGGCACTTAACCCTAATTGCTCCTGTAAGTAGCTATGGATAAGAGCGTCTGCTAAATGACTAAAATGTAAAAATGTAGAAACAGAAGCGTCCCCATCTACTCCTTCCAGAACATAGAATTAAATAGAACAGTATACTAATATAATGTTCTATACTAATAAAATAATACAATATAATGTATATGTATGTTCCAGAAACCCTACGTGTGTAAGATCCCTGGCTGCACCAAGCGCTACACAGACCCCAGCTCCCTACGCAAGCACGTCAAGACCGTGCACGGGCCCGAGGCGCACGTTACCAAGAAGCAGCGCGGCGACACCTACCCACGACCCCCGCCCCGGGAGGGGGGCAATGGACAGGGCCTGTCGCCAGGGCAGCTGGGGGGGTACGCAGACCAAAGGGAGTACAACCACTCTACCTCGAAACAGGACGAATGTCTGCAGGTCAAATCCATCAAGACAGAGAAACCCATGGTGAGCCCCTCTCTGAGGTCACATACTGCATAATGGGATAACCATAGAAATAGAATTACTCCCGCTGGTCCACCCATCACGGAACATTGAATTGAATGGGGATGCCCATTCTAGTAATTATATTTCTATGGGGTTAACAGCCCAGCTCTATCTGAAATGTCATCCTAATACAGTAGCTTCTAACAATGCTCCATCCAAATCCACTTTAACTCTAACTGTGTAATATACCGTGATGCTCACTTAAACCTAACCTGATTACTGGGACGTCAGCCAGGGATGTGTACAGTGCGTGTGTTTTCTGTGTGATCTAACCTCTTACGAATAACCCTAAAACGAATGAATTTTTTCTTCTGTCCAATTCTCCATGCATTACTCTTCCCTCTCTCTCTCTATGGACAGTGGGTAATCAGGTGAGATAGGTGTCCCTTCATGTTGCCATGTCACCTTGTAATACCCATTCAGCCTGTTGGCCATTTTCCTCTTCTCCTCTATCCACGTGGCATCAGCATTTAGTCATCTTTACAAAGCTGTCCTTATTTTGGAGAGTAACGTTTGCTCAAAGGAAGTTATATGCCTTGGGGCAAAACAAACTGTATTTCCAACCGTTTCCAATAATGTTTATGTGTAGAATGCCCAACACTGCCTAGGCCTCTATGGTGTAGCCCAATGCATTGGGTGGAACCAGGATGAGATGAGACTAGGCCCATTCAAACTACAAATTCTTGTTTTGCAGTTTTGTACGATGCAAAAAAAGTAAAAAAAATGTCTCTTCACTCCATTTGGGTAAATCAGAGTAAGGCCTTAGTCAGTCTGGAACGGTCCATTAGATGGCACACGGGGAAGCATTACTAATTCATTTCACATGGTTTACAGAAGAGAAGACATTGGACAAACCCACAGCTCTGAGAAAGTAAAGATTGTCTGTGTTTACACATATTGTAATGACAGTTGAATGCAAACCTTCTATGGTTCTGTGGCCTGTAGATTTGAAGGTGGTATTTGACCAGACTGAATGCATTAATATGATCAATCATTGTGTTATTGTTTACTCCTGTGGAAAGCATGTCCCAGGCAGCTGCATCACATGGTGTCATTGTGTGTTTTGATCATATGGCTCAGACCTTTAAGAAAATAAAATGGTCCTTAAAGTGATACTTCGGGATTTTGGCAATGAGGCCCTTTATGTACTTTCCCAGAGTCAGATGAACTCGTGGATACCATTTATATGTCTCTGCGTGGAGGAAGTTGCAAACTAGCTCTAGCGCAATTGCTAACTAGCGTTAGCGAAACTACCTCTAACTTCCTTCATACTGGACGCAGAGACATAAAAATGTGAAGTATCCCTTTAATGTGTCCCATGTACTTGGTAATAATCGAGCCTCCTGTTCTTCTTCTCCTCCCGTCTTTTCTTTTCTCCTCCCTCTTCCACCTGTTTTCACCTCTTACTTGACACTCGCGTCCCTATTCCCCCCCCCCTCCGGCAGACGTCTCAGCCAAGCCCTGGCGGTCAGTCTACATGCAGCAGTGACCAGTCCCCCGTCAGCCCCTATCCCAGCCGTGGAGTCCAGCTTGCTGTGAGGGGAGGGGTGGGACTAGGACTGGGCGAGGGACTGGGAGAGGATGAGGAGCTGGAGGACGAGGAGGAGGGGTTGGAAGAGTTAGAAATGGGCTGTGACGCCCCCATCATGGACTCCACGGTGTCGACAGCCACGGCGGCTACGTTGGCGCTGCAGCCGAGGAGGAATGTGGGCCGACCCATGAGATGGATGGAGCATATGAAGATGGAGCGGCTGAAGCAGGTGAACGGAGGAGGAGCCCCCATGCCCAGGCTGGGCCCCCTGTCACCCACACCGCCACCCAAGGGACCTGCCACGCTGCCCGCCATCCTGGGGAAGGGTAAGGACCCACCATGCTCATATCCACCACCCTGTCTGGGTCCTCTGAGGCTATACACAAAGAATAATAGTGTTTCATTACAGGGACTTAGTTAGGGTGTGAAGTGTGTTTTACATGCTGTACTCCATGGGCATTCAATATCGGTATTAAACGTCCCTGGATGCTGTAAAGGCGAATAGATATGTAAAATAATATTGACGCTAGTATTGGGTTGTAAAAATAACTCCAAATGTCTCAGCAGATCTCGGTTTGATTACTTAGAATTTCGCCTGGCAGATCGGACTTGAATACACAGGCGTAAAAAATTCTTTAAATTCTCTGTTCCGCTGGAAATCAGTATCAAACCCATATCGTATCACGCCATATATCATATCAGTGATTAAAGCATGTAATATAATTTCATGGCCAAACTGTGCCAGTTGTGTTTGTGAGAAGGTTGCATCTGTCTGAGGGATCTCTCTTCACTTATATTGTGCTCATCTTTCTCTCTATCCCCGCTCTCTCTCTCTTTCTTCCCCTGCTTTTTCTTTGTTTCTCCCCCCTCACACACCTCCTTCTTCCTCTCTTTTCCTGTCTCCCCCTGTCTCCCCTCTCTCTCTCCCCCCCTATCTTTCTCCTCCCCTCTCTCTCCCTCCCTCTCTCTCGCCCTCCTCAGGTCCATACCTGGGCAGGTTATCCCAGCCCCAGCCTCCCCCTCGTCCCGAGCTGGGCAGCACAGAGCTGACGGTGCTCAGCTTGCTCCGCAGCATCGAGAGCGGTGACCGGCGGGACAGCAGTGGCAGCGCCACCAGCTCGGCCTACCTGAGCAGCAGCCGGCGCTCCTCGGGCATCTCGCCGTGCTTCTCGTCGCGGCGCTCCAGCCAGGCGTCCCAGAGTGAGGCAGCCAACACCCCTAGTCACCACTACCGCCACCACAACCTCAGTTCCACCGACTCCTACGACCCCATCTCTACCGACGCCTCGCGCCGCTCCAGCGAGGCCAGTCAGTGCGGGGGAGGTGGTGGTGGAGGAGGGGTGTTTGTGGGTGGAGGATGGGCGGGTGTCGGGGGAGGGACCAAGGGGATGCTCAACCTCACGCCTGCGCAGCACTACTACCTGAAGGCCAAGTATGCTGCCGCCACGGGCGGCCCGCCCCCAACACCGCTGCCCAACATGGAGTGCATGAGTCTGAAGAACCGCATGGCCATGATGGGCGAAGTCCAGGACGGCGGTGGAGGCAACTACGCTCTGCCCCCACTGATCAGGCCGCGCCGCTGCAGCGACGGCAGCACCACCAACGGGTACGGGGGCCACGGTGGCTACCAAGACTACTGGCGGAGGGGCTTCTACCCCGGCGAAGGCCCAGGGAACGGCCCGGACCGGAGGGCCAGCGACCCCGTGCGGACCCACCCTCAGCAAGCACACTCTGAGTTCTTTGGGCTGCCCCAGGTCCAGTGCTTCAGCAGCCTCAACAACATTCACCCTCTGCCCCCTCTCTCAGGCCTCCAGCACCCTACGGCGAAGGGCCGCAGCCTCATTCTGCAGAACTACACACGCTCCGAGGTGAACTTACAGAGAGGGGGCTTGCTCTCCTCACCTTGCCCACCCAGCATCATGGAGAATGCGGCCCTGGAGGCCCTGGCCATGGAGGAAGAGGGAGCCCTGCTGCTGGGGGATGAGGACATGCTGCCTGACGACATGGTGCAGTACCTCCGCTCACAGGACCAGACAGGCTCCTACAACAACCACCTGGAGAACCAGGTAGCTGGGGACAACGGCCATCTCCCTGGGGGAGAGTTACAGGACCAGGGCTCAGGGCTTAACCAGTGCTTCCATAGCCTCCAGCAGCACCAACAGCAGCAGGGACTGGAGAGAGAGAGCCCTAGTAAAGACGGCATGCCCATCCAGTGGAATGAGGTGAGCTCAGGGAGCGCTGGGAGGTCTCCACAGAGGCAGCCCCAGGCCCAGTCCCAGCAGAGGTGTAGCCGATGGGCCGCCACAGAGCAGCACCATGGTCTGGCTGCCGGTTCGCCGTTGGGGAACATGGTGGTGCAGCCGCAACAACCATTCGCCAGAGACTTCCAGAACCAACGCTGTGCCCAGCCAGCCCAGTCCCAACCTCAGCCTCCATGCATAGTCAATGGCGGGGTGAAGTTAGAGGTGACCACCCACTCCTGCATGGAGATGAGAGGGAACGATCACAACCCCACACAAACCTTCGGCCGCCCTGACTTCTCCCAGATCTCTCTGGGGCCTCTTCCACAGGGCTACGGCCAGCAGAAGTACCACAACCAGACCCAGAACCACAGAACCTCCAGGCAGATCGGAGAAAACCTGCTCCTCAGCCGGGCCTCCATGGACAGCCTCTCCAGCCTCTCCCCAGCACTCCACCACCACCCCCAGGCCACCGCATCCCGCCTGCAGCAGGCCAACAGCAGGCACCTGGCCAGACCACAGCAGTACCTGAATCTCCAACCGAGCACCACCAACGGTAGCCATGTCAACCTTACCCAGCAGAACATCACCCAGCAGCAGCAGAGTCTGAGCAACCAAGCCAGCCACTACTCCCTGGCCCGTCAGGTGTCCGGGCTGAAGCTGGAGGCTCCCGACCAGGGCTACCTGGATCAGGGCTTCAGCGACCAGGCTGTGTGCTTTGATCCGGTGGAGACCAAGGCCTCGTCCTTCCCTCCCCTGGAGGAGCAGTGTCTGCTGGAAACCATGACCGAGCAGGTGGGGCTAGGCGGGGATTCCTCTGTCCCGGCTTCCCTACTATCTCCGGGTGCCGACCAGGTGACCAGTACGGTGGACAGCGGCGTGGGCGGCTCGGCCAACATACTAGACGACGTGGTGGCGCTGGACTTCGGCGCCATGCTGGATGATGTGGGGCTGGGCTATGACCAGGGTAGTCTGGTATCGGGGGTGATCAGCCCCTCCATCTTCCAGGGCCTGTCCCGGACCTCGTCCCGCCTCACCACCCCCCGGACCTCCGCCACCTTCCACAGCACCGCGGGCATGGTGCCCTCCAACCTCAGCAACATGGCCATCGGGGACATGAGTTCTCTCCTCACCACCCTCGCCGAGGAGAGCAAGTTCCTGGCCATCATGCAGTAACTAACTCCCTCCTTCCTTCCCTCCCGTGTCTAAAAGGAAATACAGGAAAAACCTGATGCATGTAAAGAACTGAAAGAGGAAGACGGCAACACTTATTATCACAGTTTATTATACTTACGTAAAGTGTTTCCCGAAACAGATTTGTTGCCAAACAGATTTATTTTGTAAAAGTGTCATCCCCTCTCTTCCGAGGCAGGGGATGTGTCAAAAAGTATATATAGATATATTCAATTTCTGTACTGAAGGCTATTTTTGGAAGCCCTTCCTTTTGTGTTACTATATGATGGTGAGCGAGTGAGGCCTTTGATGGCCTCTCTGGTCTCATCCCTTTGAAACATTATTCTGTGGATCGTTGCTGTTTTTTTTTGCTGTACACTGTTGGTATAAATGCATGTTGTAATCAAGGTCAAACATAAACACTGTCTTCATAAGTACGTAGACTAGCCCATGTGCTAAGTATCTAATCCTATTGGATGTACCATTTACCATTATGGTGCAAAAATCGCCTCATATAAATCCTTATGTCATCAGGTCATAAGAGGGTCAAAGGTCAAATATTAAATGAAAAGGCCCCTGGTGTTATCTTTCTATAATTACTTGTTAAAAAAAACATTAAACCTTTGCTATTGTCATTTTGTTAGTATGTTACTTTTGCGAATATGTAATTGTTAGTGTTTCAGTGCTTCTACCAAGTAATACCAAGCGGGTGTGTTTGACAGAGTATTCCAATAATATTGTATTGTGTCCATGTTTAAAGGACCACACTTCAAAGTCTTAGAATTCACAAGCGCCAAAACGTAGCCCTTTAGTTCATACTCCAATGGCTTGATTTACAATGTCTGTAATGGTACTCACGGGTGTATATATAACAATGTGGATTTCCATATTTTCTTCGTGAAAATCCGATTCTTGCTGTCAGATTGCGAGGCTGTTTTGAGGTGCTCTCTGTAGAAAACAATCATTTACGAACAGTATGGGACATATTCATTTTTTTATACAACAGATCATCCTTTAATTCTAAGCGTAGCACATGATTCACTGATTTAAAAAAAGGGTACCATTTGTTTTCTGTTTTTTAATCCACCATTGTATTTGATCATTTTAGAAATGTGATCCTTGTTTTGTCTAATAGATCATCCATATTCTATTCTCCAAAACAGTACAATACAGTATGTCCTACCACTATGGATTGCAGTGACTCTTTCAACAGTTTTAGTATCACCTTGCATTCCCACATGACAGTGTACAGTATTTTAAATAGTTTCCTTAATCTTCAGTGGCAAAGCAATGAGGTACAGAATTGTTTTGATGTTTTTTGGTACTTTTTGTAGCTGTGCATCAATGTTTTGTTTTGTTTTGAAAGAGGTAAGAACTCATTCCCTCGTGAAAGGACCAGAGGGAATGGCCATGAGGTATGTGCCTTAATAAAACCTGCCTGTCGGAAAATAAAAAGATCACTGCCAATCTTCCAATGTTAATTATGAAAAAATAAACATGTTAAGTGTCTTGTGAGACCTGTAATATTCACATAAACGTTTATATTTAAAAAATGATTATCGAAAAGATTGAAATGTGTGAAATGCATTAACTTTAATTATAGTTAATCAGATTTTTTTTGCCTTTTTTTATACCTGTAAATACATTACTCTTTCTGTAGGTTTTGCTCGGATATGAGGATGAGGCACGAGGGGTCAATAAAGAAATGACTCTTAAAGCAGGGATTCCCAGACCCTGGTTCTAGTCCAGGCAGATTTTGCTCTGAGTGGTGCGTGGGGTGCCCAGCACTGCCCGTCTGCCAGAAGAGCCACTTTGCTTTTTTATAACTGACCACAAATGTTTGTATGGTTTTAATAAAAAAAGTAAATTATATTTCAAGTCTTCTGTCTTGCATGTGTGCTGGTTTGGATACGATGAAACACAGACTCAGATGGATGTGAACCGATCCTCCATAGGTTACATAGGTTTGTTGGATTTAAGGTCATCAACCCACCACGACAAACAAGAACCGATCTTCCATAGGTTACATAGGTTTGTTGGATTTAAGGTCATCAACCCACCACGACAAACAAGTAAATGAGATAGAATGATCCATTGACTGCGAACGTCACTGCCATTTCTGCATAAGACAAACTACATTAGTAAGTATTACTGCATTGCTAAGAATTACTAATAAAGTCACTGTCCTTGTAACGTGATTAAATCACTAGACAATTTCTGTCTAAACTTCAGGTTATCAGATTGAGAGCTTCTGTACTCTCAAATCAAATCTTGTGCCAACATACTGGGTCAATATCTAGTGCCAAAAAGGATAAATTACACACACATCAAAAGGAAATGCAACTTCTGGTCGACCTCACGGATTGTCTGTATCAAACTCCATGTACCCTCAATTCTTACACATTGAATTATGGAGAATCGAATAGTCTGTGCTTTTGTTGCCCCCTTCTGATCATCAGTAAGAATTGCATTTGAATTCCACACCGACAGTCATCCACATCAGACCAGTGCCTATTCACAAACATAAAAATATATTTATTACCTTCGGGTTTGTCTAAAAATATTGTAATATCTTCTCCTGAATTGGCTTTTAAATGTATATAAGCAATGTATAAATACTGTGGGTAACACTTCATTTTAAGGGGTCCTTATTACAGTGTAATTACCGATGATGTATATAAATCCTGGATTGTGAATGCTATGTATTGGCTGACTTTGGGAAACCCTGCTCTATAGGAATGAATGGAATTCAATAGTATTTCAATTAAATGTTTCAAGGACAAAATTAGATGTATTTAAGTATCTTTTTTTTGTAGTGGGTAATCGAAAAAAATAATACTTTAAGGAAAATGTTTTCAGATATTATTTTATTTTGTATTTTTATGTTTAGCTCACATAATATAATTTAAAGGTACTATATTCATCACATAATATAATTTAAAAGTATTCATTAAGGTGTCTGTAATAGAATAAATGAGGCAAAAACGAATGTAGACATTAATAAATGAATTGCTACAGCTTCCAAAATATGTTTTACAATGGTGGGGGAGTCCCAAGATGGAGGCACGGGGGCTTCAACACAGCGCCCCCTATCAGTCATTTAGTGTATATATAAATCATTGGTAATTACATATGTAATTACACTGTAACAAGTATTGTAATTATTGTACTAATTAATAGTTACACTGTAATAACAATATGTAACTGGTGGTAATTGCAGTCTGTAAATAGAGGTGTAACAACGAATATGGGCCCCGTGTAGCTCAGTTGGTAGAGCATGGCGCTTGCATGGCGCTTGCAACGCCAGGGTTGTGGGTTCGATTCCCACGGGGGGCCAGTATAAAAATAGATAAAAAATAAATGTATGCACTCACTAACTGTAATGTAAATGTAAATGTTGTTACCATGCTTGTTACAAATGTTAAAGTTTATAGCATCCCAACGCACCATATTTCAGCCGGCACAAACCACCCGATAAGTGTTAGCCAATTGAAAACCGACCACCTCACTGACACAACTCTGTAATAAAGATCTGGAGTCTGATGCCTAGGCCCAATGACAAATACAGGTTCACAAACGGTTCACATAAATACATACTTTAAATTGTTAAATCATTTATTGGTGCATTTGACAGTTGGTCAATTACTTTAACCATCCATTTTTAGACATTAATAAACAGTTATGGTTAAAATAGTGAGCTAGTCATTTGTGCTTGCCAAATTGTAAGCCTATTAAGCTTGGTTGAATAATGGGTTGTACATGCACTTCAAATGGTCACAAGACAAACTCTTAATCCATCATGTAACCTTGCAAGGGTTTCACTGTTGAGGAACATTCTCACTTTTCGATGGGATGGATTGGTGCATGGGCGGCGCACAATTGGTCCAGCGTCGTCCAAGATAGGGGAGGGTTTGGCCGGCAGGAATGTGGGTTCGTTTCCCACGGGGGGCCAGTATAAAAAAAAGACTAAAATGTAAAAAAAAAAAAGTGCAATTATTTATTTATCCCAAGAATTAAGGCATCATGTCAACATCTGTCCATCTGTGCATCCCATCTACACACAATACCACAATATAAAATATAATATAAAATTGATAAAAATAATAACAAATATTTACAAAAAAACTATTTAAAAAAAGTAAAAATTAAAAACATAAAAATAAAAATGTGTAAAGTGGTTGTCCCACTGGCTATCATAAGGTGAATGCACCAATTTGTAATTCGCTCTGGATAAGAGCGTCTGCTAAATGACGTAAATGTAAATGTAAATATAATGACAAGTGAAAACATGTTTTTAGAAAATGTTGCAAATATATTGAAATTAAATACAGAAATATCTAATTTACATACAGTACCAGTCAAAAGTTTGGACACACCTACTCATTCAAGTGTTTTTCTTTTTTTTAAACTATTTTCTACATTGTAGAATAATAGTGAAGACATCAAAACTATGAAATAACACATATGTAATCATGTAGTAACCAAAAAAGTGTTAAACAGATCAAAATATATTTGAGATTTGAGATTCTTCAAAGTAGCCACCCTTTGCCTTGATGATAGCTTTGCACCCTCTTGGCATTCTCTCAACCAGCTTCATGAGGTAGTCACCTGGAATGCATTTTAATTAACAGGTTTGCCTTATTAAAAGTTAATTTGTGAAATGTATTTCCTTCTTAATGCGTTTCAGCCAATCAGATGTGTTGTGCCTGCCTGTCACGGTTTCGGCCGAGGCTGCTCCTTCTCCTTGTTCGGGCAGGCTTCGGCGGTCGTCGTCTCCGGAGTACTAGCTGCCACCGTTCTATGTTTCTATGTTTGACTGGTTTTGTCTGTTTTGTTACACCTGTTCCTTGTTAGTGTTCATTATGCGTCCTATTTAGTTCTCTTGAGTTTGGTCAGGTGTTGTGTGTAATTGTTCGTTGTCAGGTTGTGTGCTAGTTCGTTGTCTGTTCTCTCTGTATATTTTGTGTTAGAGAGAGTCCCGCACTTTGTGCGCCTTTATT